TCCGACGTCAGCAATACTCATGGAAGTATTCATGCAAACACTGGAGGAGAAATACATGAAAAAACTATCGAATCTACGCGAGATATGTCGATGATGTAATATGTCTAATAGAGGGAAACAAAGAGAAACAGATACTAGACTATCTCAACAAACAACACCAGAATATAAAATTCACCATGGAAACGGAAGAGGAAAGAAAGATTAACTATCTGGATTTAACAATGAAAATAAACGATACCACGAGCAAGATAGAGTTCGAAATATACAGCAAACCAACAGCCACAGACACAATTATACACAATAGCTCAAACCACCCACAGCAACACAAAAATGCAGCATTTAGACAACTAATAACGGGGCTTGAAAGGACCCCTCTAACAGAAGAATGCTACAAGAAGGAACTGGATACAATATATGCCATTGAGGAAAATAACGGATATAGGAGAGGCCTGGTGGAGAAGTTAAGAAAGGACACAAAATCGAAAAAGACTAGCAAAGAGGAAAACAATAAAAAAACTTGGGCAGTTCTAACTTACACAGGAAAGACATCTTACAAACTTGCCAAATTCTTTCATAAGTACGACATTCAGACATCATTTAAAACAAGGAACACAGTGGGAAATATATTGAAAGAGAAAGTAAGCGAGGAAGACCCGCTAGATAAACAGGGTGTTTAAAGTTAACCTGCGAGTGCCGACACAGTTACATAGGACAAACAGGGTGAAATATAATAATATTCATCTACCTATTGAGTACCGCAAACACTGCAAAACTAAAAAGACCTACCTAACAAAAGAAAGAGGTAGTTAACAAGGAGTATTAATTCGAGCAACCAACAAAAATTATGCAGAACGAAAAATGACACTGAAGATGGCACAACGCCGAAACCGGTTTGTCTCCAAACCAAATTTGACAAGGGATGACGGAAATTCGTTCCATAATACATCATACACCCACCCTGTCGGAAACAACAACAACCAAAAAGGAAATGTTTAAAGAAACTTTGTTTTAACTTCATTTCTTTCTCCGTCATTGTTTTAAGTAAGAAAATTCGGGAAATATAAAAATTATTACCGAAGTGGACGCACATATTTTTTTTGAGGCTGATAAAGTTTTAATCTTTTTGGTGAGTACCAAATTATTATTTTTTCTTGTTTTTGTAGAAGAAATCTTTCTTATATGGCGGAATATAGATCACTTACTATACTTATTCTCTCAATTGATGTATCTACTAATAGAATACACAAAAAAATTCCGCGGCTAGCTGCGGCACCCATACATTTATTTTCAATTTTCAAAATGACTCCTAAAATTTCAACACAGAAAATCTTTGATTTTTGGCTGTCTACCCCTAAAAATGAAAGACTTGATGGAAACATGGATTTTGTACCAGGGAATATCAGTTTAGGATCTAGTGATAGAATCAAATTTGTTAAACTGAAATCATACGTGCGAAGTTAATTCACAATTTGGCCCTAAAGTGGACAAAAGTTTTCCGAAAAAGAGAGCGGTTTGTTACTGCAAATAAAGATTGGCTCGAATTTGAAATAGACTTGTTACAATTTGTGTGTTCTAAGTTTGGTAAGCCGACATTTTCTGCTGGTAGGAAAGCTAAAAGTTTTGAAGATTGTTGCCAAAAAGTTAAAAGGAAGAAAGCTAATGAGCTTTCGAAAGTTATCGAACCGAGTTGCCGAACTTATTGAGCTTTTAAGAACTCCAAAAAGAGGTACTGCTATTAAGAAGGTCATATTGGTAAAGAAGAGTCCTAAAGGTATTTCGCCTGAAGAAGCTTTCGCACTAATAACACCGGCACACAAAAAAAAGGTGTGATGTGCATTTGACCGGACCTTCCTATGGTTATGTATTTCGACCCGCAGAATCCGAATTTGAATTCAGTTTGGCCAATATACCTCCTAGATTTCGAGAAAACTTCAAAAAATTTTATTGCCGATTTTTCACTATTTTTACGTTTTTTTTTGAAGTTTTCTCGAAATCTAGGAGGTATATTGGCCGAAAAACATATCCATATGTAGGTCCGGTCAAATACACATCACTAATTTATTTCGTGTGCCGGTGTACTCGACACAAATTTATCAAAGCATCAGTATCGTTTACTTACTGAGGGCCATTTTCTAATGTAAGCAGTAAAGTTGCCTTTACTAACAGGGCAGATAAATTGTTCCTCACTTTAAAATGTTTTGGGTTTCTTATCTTACCGGTAAAAATAAATTTGTTGTTCCGTAGAACATATAATTTCAAAGGTTGACAATGCAACATAAGCAAATATAGAGCAAGAGCAACTGTTAGCAAAAACCAAAACCTTGGTTGAAATATTTA